TCTATTTAAGTAGTCTGCCTGAAGGTTCTACACTAGTTGCGATACCTGAAATCTATTTGAAGATTCCCTATTTAAACTCTCTGGCCCTATGACTTACCTGTTTCTATCTATTTTTACTAATTCAGCCTAACTCCATGCTACTTCTCCAGGAAGACACCCAAGCTGACATATATCTACAAACTTTATGATTCAAAGCCTAGGCCCATCTCAGGTACCCCTTTACTAACTTCCAAATCAATGAGTGCTGTGGTACTCAACTATGCTATGCTATATCCCAATCTAGCTTGCATATATCCTTGTTCGATGTTTGTACAAACCTAGTTCCTACTGTAGTTTTCCACCAAGTTAGTCATCCGTGCCTCCAGATATCATACTAAGTAGATCTTCTCAAATCTGTTGCTTGGTGTTGCCTGCTTTGCAGCTGGATATTACATGAGACAGATCCTTCCAAATCTAGTTAGCTGCCAAGCCAGGTTGGTGTTGCCGTACAACCTCATATAATGGACTTACTCGCACCTGTTTCATTGATCCTTCTGTACTCAGGACTTATTCATATCTATTTCACCAATTTTTTTATACGCAGATTTCCTTTCCTAGATCAGATGTTAACTGGTATGACTGTTAAAATCTGTACTACTTCACCTAATTCGAGATTTCTACTATGCAGGTCCCCTGACCGTAGATCCTATCAAGATTTATTTGTATATCATTACGCCTCGCCAAATATCTCGTCATACTTCCAATACCCGATTAGCATTAGTACAATGTGATTTATAGGTTACAATTCCAGAAACGAGCAGAGTTTACTGTAAGTTGGATACAGATGTCTAGATAATTATTCAATTCTGTATACAGTGGGATTTGAACCCTAGACCTCTTGTATGGCAGTCTGGCAACCTAACCACTACACTAAGATCACCAGACCCTATGATCAATTTAAAAACATTGATCCTATATAAATTGTCAAATATAACAATTATATCACTATTTGTTAGTATAAGTTTAATAAATAATTGATTATTTACATTAAATAAAGTAGTGCAAACTACGAAGCTAGAATTTAATCAATTAAATTACATATATTTTGTTACAAGTTTTTGATATCAGTTTGTTAATTTTAATTATCTAGTAGTTACTATTGATCATGCTACCTATTACTACATCACATTGTTTTGTTATCAAAAATAGAATTTTAAAATTTCTATATTTGAGCTTAAAGATTATTTAATCAAAGCATGACCAATGACTACTCCTAAATAATATTGATATCAGATAGTTTGTGGATATATTGTATTAATGATATCAACAACTATTGATTAACTCAAATTGTGCTTCTATTGCAGTATCTTAAGCTAATCAATAGCTGTTTAATACTGCTAACTCAATATTATCTACAAACTACCTAATAACTATTAATTATTATGTATCAAGAAAGTATATTAGTTTAAAGTTATCTTTATTATATATAATAGTTATTTTCTTATACATAATATCTAAATTTAATTTTAAGCAAATAATAGCTTCTGCTCTAATATATGGTACTTCATTTATAATTTATATATAATTACTTAATTATATAATTCTTAAATACCAAATACTCAAAGTTTATTATAAATCTACTTTGCAAATAATAGCTTCTACTCTAATATATGTTACTTCATTTATAATTTATATATAATTATATAATTATATAATTCTTAAATATCAAATACTCAAGGTTTATTACAAATCTACTTTGCAAATAGTAGCTTACACTCTAATATATGTTACTCCATTTATAATTTATATATAATTATGTTATTACATAATTCCTAAATACCAAATACTCAAAGTTTGTTACAAATCTACTTTGCCTTTTACCATATTTATTTGTAGTATTTGTAAAAAAGAATTTAGTTATTTAACAAGCTTTAAAAATTATAAGAAAACTCACAAAAACTATTATCAAATCAAAGAAGGAACTAATACTAGTTTAATACTAGTATAGATGAGAGTATAGATAGTGATATTTCTAATAAATCAGAAATAATAAGTACTCAGAATAATAATAAAAGAAATGTTACTATTAATTGTGACTTAATACTTAAAAATCATGATATTTCTAATGAATTTTATTATAAAACTACTAGTAAGTCTAATTCAATATTCAATGACTAGAAAATCACCAATGAGTCTAATTCAATATTCAATAACTAGAAGGCTATCAGCAGTTCTAGTTCAATGTTCAATGACCAGGAGGCTATCAATGAGTCTGATTCAATATCTAATAACCAGAAAGTTATTGGTGAGTCTAATTTAATATTTAATAACCAAGAGGCTACCAGTGAGTCTGATACAATATTTAATAACTAGGAGGCTACTAGTGAGTCTGATTTAATATTTGATGATAAGTTTGTTCCTAATAACCAAAAGATCAATGATAACTATATCTCTATTTTTAATAATCATGGAATAGCTAATAAGTTTAGCTTAATATTTGACATGGAAACTACTGATAAGTTTGGCCAAATTTTCGAGAGAAACCTAATAAAAAATTATAATAAAAGTAATAATGAATTGTGGAGTAATAATAGTGAACATGATAATATAGATTTTTCAAATGATATATATTGAAATTTTGTCAATATAATAAGTAGTAGATCAAGCAAAGTTAATTATTTGATACTATTATAAAATAAGTTTCAATTATTTTATTTTATTATTTTATTTTATTATTAGTATTTTTATAAATAGTTAGTTTCTTAAATGTATTTTATTTACTATACCATTTTTACAAATAATTTAGTAGTCACAGATAGATTTAGACTTTACTATTAGATCCAGCTCAAAGAGATCTTTCAAATGAGCTATAATTCATA